AGTGAGAGTAAGCTTGAGAAAGAGCAAGAGAGAGGGAGAGAGAGAGAGATAAAGATAGAGAGAGAGAGAGAGAAAGCAAGAAAGGGCAAGGGAGTGCAAGAAAGAGAGATGGAGAGAGAGATAACGAGCAAGAGAGAGAGAGTAAGAGAGAGAGAGAGAAAGAGAGAGAGAGAGAGAGTTGAATTTTGAATTTGCATTCATTTAAAATCGGTTACAAAAAGAACCAAAAACACCAAAAGCCCCTAAGAGGGGGGTAAAACAATTTCTATCATCCTCAAGGATGGACAAAAAATCTTGAGGAATACATGTGTATCTATTATCTTTTATATCCCAAACAAAATTGTCCTCAATCGCTCTTTGAATGCAAAAATGAGCCACCTTGTTGTACTCCCTGTAAGTGTGAATAAAAAGCACCTTATGGAAAGATTTAAACTAGTTAAATCTCTCACCCTCTTCCGACCGCAGCTTCCAAGTCTCCGTGTGTTGGCACTTATACATGAAATCGATCACACTCGCATTATCACCCTCGATAATGACCCCGTCAAGATCAAACATCCAGTCTTGAATGATCCGATCGATGTATTGAATGGCCATTAGTTCAACCTGCGTACTATCCCAATGCAAGATTCCCCAACCCGCCGCCACGACCAGATTACCCTGATAGTCCCTTATTATGATGCCGATGTCGCCCGCATTATTCCTACGCAATGCACCATCCACGTTGATTTTCAACCAGCCTGAAGGGGGGGGGGACACCAAGATGCATTCTGAAACAATCCAACGGATTGAAGGGTGAACCGTTGCTCTAAGCTATTCGAAAAAACACAGTGGCTGGTGGATCCGAGAACCAAAGCTGCCAGCCTGGTAATGGAGTTCACTGTCTTGCCATGTTGAGTGGTGTTCCTGTTTCCCTAGCTATAGAAGACCGCCGAGCAATAGATCTTTGTCCAGTAGGCTTTGGTCGCAAGTCCCCTGTGTAGCGCTTCCTTCAAATCCATAAAGCATGCAAATCTGGGCGTGACAAAGCCCCAATCATCCAGATGCTTCAGGATCTTGAGTAATTGTAGACACTTCATCGAGACGTGATCGAGATTTTCATGCTGGTTACAACCCATCGGACAATTAAGCCCAGCCCTGAGGCCCCAGCGGTTGAGCCAAGTAAGAGTAGGAATGAGGTCCTTGAAGAGCCTCCACCAGAAGACTCTCTCACGGGGTCGCATATGCATATCCAAAATGGTACACACCTGGTCCTCCTCCCCCGTATACTCCGCATTGTAGCAGATAGCGGATAATGAAGTGCCCAACGTGCTCTTGGTTAATTCAAGAGTATCGGCATGGAGTTCAGGCCAGATTCTCACCTCGCAAATCAACTCGACAAGGGACTCCCCGAAGTAATTCCGAAGCTTATTCCGGTCCCATTCGCCACCCGACATGATGAACTCTTCCACCCGGCTGTCCACATCAACCTCAACATTACAGAACGTCGGCCAAGAACAAATGGCATAGTCCTGTATCCAAACATGATTGATTGTGTCAATATCTGCTCCGTTGTAGACCTTCCACCTGAGACAGCTAACCAAACTCGCCACCCCATTACATATAATCCTCCACCCATTCGATTCACCTCTTTTCTGTTCCATCCTCCATGGCCAATCCCCATACTTGTGCCGCATACACCTTTGGAAAAGATGATGAGGCTTGTTTATGAAATCCCAGGCAATTCTTGCACGGAGTGGCCCCGTCCAACTGCTACTGGCATGAAAACTGAGAACTCCCAGGCACCTCGGACAGGTGAGGCTGCCCCAAGCCGCATAATGCAGACTCTTGTGGTTCTGGTTCTTATCCCAGAGGAAGCTTCGACACAGTCTTTCCGCTTCAGCAAGAACACCCCGAGGGACCAGCATATGTTTCATTGCAAACACCAATAGCGGAAGCAGCACAAAGTTGATCATTGTAATCCTACCCGCCAAGGATAGTTGACGAGTGCCCCAGGCTAAGATGTGCGATTGAATTTTCTGTAGGAGAGGGCTGAAATCCGTCTTCGTTAGCCTTCTCATTGCAAATTTTATGCCAAGGTAATCCATTTCCGTCACCTTACGACACCCCACAATCCTAGCAAGCCGGCTTCTAGTGGAGGTCGTGTCCTTTCTGCTAAAAAGAATGGCTGATTTAGTATTGTTAATCCTTTGCCCCGTCCAGCCGCAATAATCATTTAGGATCGTTAAGAGCTTCCGAACATTAGGGATGGTGGCACCTGCAAAACATAAAACGTCGTCAGCATAAAAGAGGTGGGAGACGACAGGTCCTCCCACCTTGATTTGGATGCCTAACTCCGGGTAGTTTTGGCGAAAGTGGAGAGACAGTAGTTCCGAGCAAAGAATGAACAAATATGGTGAGAGCGGACACCCTTGCCGAAACCCACAGCCAGCCGTAATCCCATCAGTAAGAGTTCCATTCACCAGAATTGCAAACCATGGAGTAGTGACACAGCTCATCACCCACGAATAAAATCTTTGTGGAAAACCCATCTTTGTCAGCACAACCTCCAGAGTTCTCCAGTTCATTTTTTCATAAGCTTGCTCCATGTCAACTTTCAGCGCTAGCCATCCTTTAGTAGACTTAGAGACCTTGAACATGTTCATAATCTCCTTCCCCAAAAGACAGTGATCAGAAATAGATCTCCCCGGCACAAAGGCCGCTTGTTCCTCCGAAATAATGGAAGGCAAAATGCCTTTGATGATGTTAACTAAAATTTTTGCAATGACCTTATAAATGGTTTGACAGAGACTGATCAGTCTAAATTTTGAGGGATGGTTCGCATTATTGCCCTTTCGCAGTAAAACCACCACAGTATCCTTCCACCCCGGCTCCATCCGTCCTGAAGAGAAAAACTCCAAACACGCCAAGTTGACCTGCTCACCAATAATGTCCCAAAAAAATTTAAGGATGTCGTCACACCATCACGTCCAGGAGCACGATTCTTGCCCATTGACTTCACCGCAAGACATACTTCCTCACGGGTGATATCACAATCCAGAGGACATGCCCAGGCGCAGTAAGCATGCAAATTGCGGATCAAGGGATGGCCACCCGTGGTCAATGATATCATTGTTTTCCCATTTCCGTTGGAAAAAATCTTCCATCATTCTCAAAATCTCGGTCTAATCAGTAATAATCCTCCCGTCCGGATGCTTGAGCTGATCAATGAGATTGGTCCTCCTTCTCGCCGACGCCATGTTGTGGAAGAAATGTGTGTTCCCATCCCCCTCCTCAATCCATTGTACCTTCGCACGTTCCCCCACCAAGTCATGATCCTGGTCAGAGTTGCCTTCAACAGCTGAACCTTATATTTGAGAGACTCAGACTGTGCCTTAGAGAGGCCTGAAGGAGAGCAATCAATTTCCTGTAGAATGCTGATCTCACGGTCAAGCTCATCCTTCAGCTGGTTCAATAACTTGATTTTATTCATACTCCAAAAGAACAGTGCCTTTAGAGTCCTCTTGCACTTTCTCTGTAGGATCGTCGCTTCCGAGCCAGAGTCATGTACCTTCCATTTCTCCATAACCAATTGCCACGCCCTCGGATAGCTGGCCCAGACATCTTCAAACCGGATCCATGAGGAGTAGGCCCTCCTCACACCCGCCTGAACAGAACAGAGGATGGGAAAATGGTCAAAGGTAAGCCGAGAGAGATGCTTAACCTTCAAGCCCTGAAATTCATCCATAATGGATGAATTGATCAGAAACCGGTCCAAGCGTGAGTAAATCCGACTTCCGGCATCTTTATTGTTGGTCCAAGTGAAGGCAAGTCCCGAGAAACCAGGGTCAACCAAGCCATTGGCATTCATGAAGTTGCCCATTTGCTAGCCGCATGATTGAAAATAAAGGGTCTACCCCCCTTCTTCTCACTCTGTTCCATGATGCAATTGAAGTCCCCCCCCACCACCAAAGGGGCGTTGGCAACATGATACTGCGAAATATCCTCCCAAATTCGTTATACCTATCTTTGTCGCCATAGACAACAGCAAGCTCCCAAGACTGATAATGCGTCCACCTAAAACTCCCCATAATACATTGGTTTGTTTGAAAGGTGACATTGAAGGTGCCAAAGGGAGAGCAAGGGAGAGAGCAAAAGAGAGAGCAAGCTAGAGAAAGAAGAAGAGAGAACAAGAGAGAGCAAGGGAGAGAGCAAAAGAGAGAGAGGGAGAGAGAGAGAGATAGAGAGAGAGGGAGAGAGAAAAAAAGGGAGGGAGAGAGAAAGAGGGAGAGAGTGAGAGATAGAGAGAGATTAAGAAAGAACAAGGAAGTGCAAGAGAAAGAGAGGGAGAGAGAGAGAGAGAGAGAGAGAGAGAGAGAGAGAGAGAGAGAGAGAGAGAGAGAGAGAGAGAGAGAGAGAGAGAGAGAGAGAGAGAGAGAGAGAGAGAGAGGGATAGAGTGTGCATTCATCTAAAAAAAAAACTATTACAAACTATCAAATAGAAAACTAGTGCCCATTTGGCACTCTAGAAAAAGAAAAGTAACTATCTTCCTCAAGGATTTCCAAAAACTCTTGAGGAATATCTCTATCTCCTATATCCCAAGAAAAAGAACTATCCACTGCCCTCTGTGCACAACAGTGAGCTGCTCTGTTGAACTTCCTATAAGTATGAACAAATAAAACCTTTTGGAACAACTTAAGCCAATCCATATCCATACAATCCCTCACTTATAGCTTCCATTTATCCTTATACCAGAAATTCTGCATATACTTAATCACCCCTGCATTATCTCCCTCTATAATGACCCCATAAAATCAAACATCCAATCAGAAAGGAGTTTGTCAATATACTTAAAAGCCAAAAATTCCACTTGTGTGCTGTCCCAATGGGTCACACCACCCAGCCGCAGCAATCAGCTTCCCTTCACTATCTCGTATAACAATTCTTATACCTCCAGCATTCGAACAATGTAAAGCTCCATCCAAGTTAATTTTCAGCCAACCTGTAGGGGGGAAACCAAGAATAGAGAGTAGACAATCCAACGGATTGAGAGGTATCCCGTTGCTCTAGATGAAATGAAAAAACAACTTTGATCCAGAACCTCCAACATTTTAGCAGCCAAGTATGCAGGAGAACAGCCACCTTTACCATGCTTAACAGAATTCCTGTTATCCCAATTCTGATGAACATCAACACAATACAACGGCACCCAACTTTCCCTCACATCAGCAAACTTCCCAATGGAATCCCATAACTCAACAAATGAACAAAACCGAGGAACCACAAATCCCCAGTTTTCCAGAACAGTCAGGACATCCCGAAGCTTCCTGCAATTACACGTAATATGATTTATGTCCTCCACCTCATCACATCCCAAAGGACAAAAAGAATCAGAAGAAAGACCCCGTCTACTAAGCCAACCATTGGTTGGGATAATGTCTTTATACACTCTCCACCAAAACAATTTCTCCCTGGGCCTCAACCCAACTTTAAAAATAAGACAAACAGGATCATTATCTTCCATGAAACAACTGTTGTTTACACCAACAGAAATTATTGAACATAGTGGGCTCTTCACCATTTCAATAGAATCAGTAGACAACCCATTTTCAATTGGAATCCCACAGATTATGTCCACCAGCAATTCTCCAAAACATAGAAGAAGTTTTGGCCTATTCCATCCAAATCCTTCCAGAATAAAATCTGACAACATCAGATTTTCAATAGTATTAATATCACAAAAAGTAGGCCATCTAGATAAAGTCCTATCCCAAATCCACACATCATTTAACACATCAATCTTCCTTCCATTATGAATCTTCCAACGAACCGAGCTGCTCAAGCTACGGGCTCCCTAACATATAATCTTCCAGCAGATAGAACTCCCCTTCCTCCCATCATAATGCCAAGGATTATGACCATATTTATGTCTCATACATTTCTGGAATAACTCCAATGGTTTGCAGATGAACTCCCAAGCAATATGAGCTCTCAACGGTCCAACCCAGTTGGCACTAGTATGAAATCCAAGGCCACCCTTGCATCGTGGACGTGCCATACTTTCCCATGAAGCATAGTGCATGCTTTTATGTGTAGCATCTCTATCCCAAAAAAAACTACGACAAATCTTCTCAATATAATTAAGAACAGCTCTCTGCACACCCGTATGGGTCACCATATACACTAATAAAGGTAATAAAACAAAATTAATCAATGTAACCCGTCCAGCCAAAGACAAATGACGAATTCCCCAAGACAACGTACAAGCTCTGGCCTTCTGAATCAATGGCGTGAAATCCTTCCTAGAAAGTCTCCTCAGAGCCAATTTGACACCCAAATACTCCAATTCAGCAACTTTACAGTAGCCAATCAATTTAGCTAACCGAGATCTTGTAGTGGATGAAGTCCTTTTGCTTAAAAGAATGGCAGATTTGCCATTGTTGACTCTCTGTCCAGTCCAACTACAATAGTCTTCAAGAATAGCATTAATCTTCTTAACATTGGGGATTGAAGCACCTGGAAAAAAGATAATATCGTCAGCATAAAAGAGGTGGGAGACAGAAGGTCCCCCACCATCTCCGTAAAATTCTGATGAAAGTGTACCAACAACAGCTCCGAACATAGGATGAACAGATAAGGAGACAAAGGACACCCTTGACGGAATCCACATTTTGCATTAATCTTCTCAGTTAACCTCCCATTGATAAGGATAGAAAATTGTGGATCCATAACACAGCAAAGCACCCAATAAGTGAATCTAGGTGGAAAACCCATACGTTCAAGAACAATCTCCAAAGTCCTCCAACTCATCTTATCATACGCCTGCTCCATATCTACTTTTAATGCCAAAAAACCCAAGGAAGATTTAGATACCTTGAACTTATTCACCATCTCCTGAGCAAGCAAACAATGACTTGAAATCGATCTCCTTGGCACAAAAGCTGCTTGCTCCTCCGAAATCAGTCTTGGCAATACTCCTTTAAGTCTATTCACCGAAACCTTTGCCACAATTTTATAAATTGTTTGAAAAAGACTAATAGGTCTAAACTTGGAAGGTTGATCAGGATTATTGACTTTAGGCAACAAAACAACAACTATTTCCTTCCAAGAAGGTTCCATAAAACATGTAGAAAAAAACTCCAAACAAGCCAAAATCACTTGTTCTCCAATAATCTCCCAAAAGAATTTAAAGAAAGAAGCAGTCACACCATCTCTTATAGGAGCCTTATTCCTACCGAAAGAGAAAACCACATTCCATATTTCCTCTTTAGTAACCTCGGCATCCAGACATCCAGAAAACTCAGCTAAATAGCTCCTCTGGACCTCCAATGACGGCCAGCCTCCTTCAACAATACTCAGCCCCTTCCATTTCTTCTCAAAGAAATTAAACATCTCCAAAGAAATATCATCCTGGGCTGAAATTACCGTCTCATCTGCCTTCTTCAAACAATCAATACACTTTGTCCTCCTTCTAGCAGATGCCATTGAGTGAAAGAAATGGTTATTACCATCCCCTACCTCAATCCACCTTACCTTGGCTCGTTGCCTCCACCACGTCATAATACGAGTTAAAGTACTATTCAACAAACGAACCATGTACTTCAAAGCCTCAACTTGAACATCTGTTAGGGGCAAACATTCCAGCACCTGAAGAACTTTAATCTCCTCATCCAGCTCACCCTTCAATTGATTAAGTTCTTTAAATTTATTTTTACTCCAGGAAAAAAAAAGAGCCTTCAAAGTTCTTTGACATTTTTTCTGCAATTTAGAAGACTAACTACCCGAGTCCTCCACATACCATTTCTCCCATACCAAATGCCAAGCTTTAGGGTAACTAGCCCAAACATCTTTGAATTTAATCTAATGAGAGTAAGTCCAACTCACAGCACCCTGAATTTCACATAAAATGGGGCAATGATCAGATGCTAATCTTATTAGATGCCTCACTTTCAAACATTGAAACAAATCCAGGATAGATGAACTAATCAAGAATCTATCCAATCTAGAATAGATCCCACTCCTTGCATCCTTGTTATTAGTCCAAGTGAAAGCCGGCCCAATAAAACATGGATCAACCAACTCATTTTCTGCCAAAAAATCACCCATTTCACTAGCAACTAGTGAAAACTGGAATGGCTTACCCCCTTCTTCTCCTCCTGAGACAGAATATAGTTAAAATCCCCCCACCAATAAGGGACAATCAACTGAATGAGACCTGGAAATATCATTCCACAAAAGTCTTTTGTACCAATCCTTGCCACCATAAACTACAGCAACCTCCCAATCAATATTGTTAGTCATAATGAATTTCCCCATAACACACTGATTAGTTTGAACTAACACATGAAAAGAAACCACCGCTGTCCTCCATAACACAAGTATACCACCAACACTACCAACAGCCGGTTGGAAAGCAAAATCCCAATCTCTCCCAGCAAGTCTACGAATATCCCTTCTACAAAAAAATTCCATCTTAGTCTCAAGCAACCCAATGAAACAAACCTTGTGCTGCCCAATGAGGTGTCATAAATAATTCCCCGTCTCTTTCTTACAAGCACCTCTATAGTTCCAACATAAGATGTTAAACATTAACAACCAAAGGGAAAGCGTCCCCGCCGCAAAAAGCTTCAGAGAAAACATCTTGCCACTAACCAGCAAGATCCACCTCTTTTAATTTGCAATCCACAGATTTATCTATCACATTTACAATCTGTTCATTAAAGGATACATCTAATTCCTCATTTACCCTCTTTCTTCTTCTAAAATCCGGCACTTCTGAAGAGGCCCAATGAGAGACACTTCATTAGCATGGCAATCTTTAGAATTCCTACTTTTCTTATTTTTATCCTTCAGCACACCAGATTTACTCTCTGAGAATTTCA